TTGTCTTACATCTGCTGCAGTGGCGCACGAGCGCCTGTGCCCATATCTCCCCATATCTCCCCATATCTCCCCATATCTCCCCCTATCTCCCCATATCTCCCCATGTCTCGCTCGAGTGGACCACGAGCGCCTGTGCCCATATATCTCCCTATATCTCCCCCTATCTCCCCCTATCTCCCCATGTCTCGCTCGAGTGGCGCACGAGCGCCTGTGCCGTCGACTTTGCGATGGCGTGAGAGAGGTAGAGGGGGGCGCGCGGCGCGCCGGCGGCGTCGGCGACGACGGCGACGGGGAGGAGCTTCGCGAGCGCACCGGCGGCGCCGTGGCCGTGCTTGCTCGGCAGAGCGGCCGCCTCGGCGGCGCTGCTCGGGACCGCGGCGATGCGGACGAGGAGGTCGACGGCCGTCATGCTGCCTAGACGGTTCCTAGACGGCTCCTAGACGGTTCCTGGAAGGTTTCTCGAGGTCGACGGCCGTCATGCTGCCCGCCCCCCCCCCTGCCGCCGCTGGAGACGCGAGCTCTCTCGCGCCGGCGAGAGAGCGCGCCGGCTGGCGGAAGGCTGCGAACGCACCTCCCGGCGTTGAGAGCGCGGCGCGCGACCAGCGCGCGAGCGCCTCAACTCGCGCCGAATCGGCGTCCGACCAAGTGAGGTGCTCCGCCGAGCGGTTGGCCGACGGAGACGCCCCGTCGCCAAAGACCCACTGCGTGCGGAGCGTCGCGCCGCCTGCGCCGCGGGCGGGCACCACCGTCGGAGCCGAGCACGACTCTGCGCCCTGCGCGCACAAGGGGCGAGAGTCTCCGGCATCTAGTGTCGCGCCGCCGCGAGGGCCGCGAGGCGCGCCGACGGCATGCGCCTGCGGGACGCCGTCGTACGGCGGGGAAGGCTTGAGGCGGTGCAGCCTGTCGGACGCGCCAGGGACGAGTCGTGGACATGTCGTGGCTCGGCGGCGGGGGGGCCGAGGCGGTGTGCGGCCTCACGACGGCGCCGACGCCGGGCACGTGCGGGTGTGCTTTGAAGCAGTTGAGGGCGAGGTACTCTCCCGCCTACGGAAACGTGTCGGGGACGTGTCGGGGACGTGTCCGGGGGATGGACACTGCGTACCGCCGGTGCCGCCTAGGGAGGGTGTGGGTGGACGCGTCCCGGACGCGTCCCTCGACGGTACCGAGCTCGAGGCGGCCTCCCGCCGAGGCGCAAGACTCGTCGACGAGGTGGAGCACCTGTCCATGCACGCGCGGCTGTGAAGAGGCGCTGCCCACACTCTTGCGGCTGTGAAGAGGCGCTGCCCACACTCTTGCGGCTGTGAAGAGGCGCTGCCCACACTCTTGCGGCTGTGAAGAGGCGCTGCCCACACTCTTGCGGCTGTGAAGAGGCGCTGCCCACACTCTTGCCTCTGAGTGGCCACCGCGGTCCTGGGTGGTCGTTGCTCTGTGGCTGTGAAGAGGCGCTGCCCACCCTCAGGAGGTGTGGCAGCCCTGCAGGCCGAGTGTATTGTTGGTTGTGTCTGTGTGTCGATCCAGTGTTGCCGTCTCTCCGCCGCTAGCGGCAGGCTCTTCGGAGTCCGGTGTCCAGACGTGGCCCCACTGTGCTTCGCCTCCCTCTCCTACCAGAGGCGTGCGGCCGCACCGAACGCAGGTCTGTCCCCTTGGTCGCGCGCGGCAGCTGGTACTCGACAACCACGCCGAAGCAGTGCCAGTCGTCGCCTCCGTCCGAGCCCGACGCCTGCCGCAACCGCTCCACGCTCGAGTAGGCGTACTGCCCTGTGGCGCGGCGCGGCCGCTTTGCGCCCTGTCCGCCAGCTGGAGCAGTGCTGTCGGCGGCGGCGGCGGGCGCGGCGTTGGCGGTTGAGACAAAGGCGCCCGTGGCGCCGAGAGTGAGGGTGCGCTGCTCGCCCACCAGTACGACGCGAGCGGAGGGCGAGGCGCCCTTTGGCGGCAGCGACAGCTGCCACGGGCTCTCTAGGTCGGTGGCGTCGGGCGCCGGCTCGACCTCTGCGCCGTTGACGGTCACTTTGCAGCCGAGCGCGACGCTGGGCGCCAGCTTCTCGCACCAGAAGCCCCAGAGCACCAGCTTGCAGCGCCGCCAGGCCGGCCCGCCGCCGCCGGCATCGCGCCGCTCGAGCACGAGGGTGACGACCGGCAGCTCGGCGGAGGGGTCGCACAGCACGTAGTCGGCCGGAGGCGCGCGCCGGCCGGCGGGCGAGCGCTGGGCGACGTAGCCCTCGAGGGTGGCAATTTCGGGCAAAAGCTGGTCGTCGGGTGCGGCGAGCATGGGTCAGCGATGGCGGTTTGCCCACATCGTTGCGCGGCCCCACCCCCCGCCCCCCACCCCCCAGCATGCAGCATCCATGGAAGCCCCCAAGCATCCATGGAAGCCCCCAAGAATCCATTGAGACCCCCCAGGGAGACCCTCCAGGGAGACCCCCCAGGGAGACACCCCAGGGAGACACCCCAGGGAGACACCCCAGGGAGACCCCTCGCGGCAAACGGAGTCCCTCCGACGGCTAGAAAAGAGGATCCGACGTTTCGCCATCACAGCCGATCACCGCGGACGCCTAAAATCGGCGACGAACTATGAGCAACCCCCCCGATCCCGCGTGGCTTGACGCTCTCTTGGGCGGGACCGACGGCGTGGAGATCCCGCCTCACAGATGACAGAGACGCCCGGAGCGCTGTACGAGACTGAACGACCGTCGCCGCAATCGCCACCGCCGCCATCTTGACGAGCAGCGCGAGCGCGCTCGTCGGCGGCCAGCCGTCGCGGGCCGGGCCGAGCCCGGCCTCGACCGGCCGCGCCGCCGCAGCAGGCCGGGAGGCCCGAATGGCGGCCGACCAGCTGATCAGGACTTTCTTTGACTCATGTTTGGTTTGTCCTGCCGCGCACATTGTCATCGACTTGTATCCGACTTGGTGGCTGTGGTGATGTAGCGATGGTGTGGGTCTCTCGTGACCTATACAGCTCCTCCGTATTCCGTCTCCTGACACCGTGCATAGTGCGAGTTATAAAATTCTCTTTTCCGCCCCGCAAACGACTCGGCGCCGAATGCGCCAGACCACACTGCGCGGGATCACCGGCGCTGCGCGCTCCGGCCCCGCCTCACCCACCCGCGCCGCCGCCGACCCGCACGACATGCAGCGCTTCGCGTCCAAGCAGGCCCTCGACCACGACCGGGCTGTGCGAGAGCTCAAGGACGGCAGGAAGGCTGGCTGCTGGTCGTGGTGGATCTTCCCGACGCCGCCGTTCATCCGGAACGGCGAGCGTGTCGGCTCGCCCATCAACCAGGTGTACGAGCTCGCCGACGACGCCGAAGGGCTCGCATACCTACTCTTCCGCGACGGCCAGCTGCGGAGCAACTACCTCGCGGTGCTCGACGCGATGAGTGGCTCGCTCGAGGAGGGAGTCGAGCCGCGCAGGCTGCTCGGCATCGACGTGCCTCGCGCCGTCGCCTCAGTCCGCTACTTTTCGCACCTCGCCACGCTCGGCGACGGCGACGAGGCGCTGCGCGACGGCTGCGAGCGAGCGCTCGGTCTGCTCGTGCCGGACGACTCGGCCGACGCCGGCGGTGGCGGCGGCCGGCAGCAAAAGCGCGCGCACCCGGGGTGAGTCGGCCGCCACCGACACTCTCTCGTGCGCAGAGGGCGCTGCTGGGCCGCGCAAAGAAGCGTGTGGACGGCTCGATCTCTGGCCGTGGCGCACACCGATTTGAGGCATATTTTTGCGAATTTACGAGATAGCAAATGGTTTGCCAAAATGCGTGGCGAGAGGGAGAGGATGTAGTGCCGAAGGCCAGGGTTGCGTACTCTTCTGTTGCAGTGCTTCGTACAACGCAGTAGTTTTCACAGTGTACACGAGTCACCTCGCGCCGCGCGCGGCCTCGTTCACCACAGGGTAGGCTCCGTGCCCGCAACGGCCAACGGCAACGCTAAAATTTTGCGCGCTCCGAGAACTCGTCCGGGGTTGGCGTCGCATCCGAACACTTGGCGAGCGAGCGGAAAGCTTGCTCTGCGCTAATCGGATGCTTGGCGTAGCTCGCAGCGAAGCGAGACACCGCCTCGCAGAGCGACGCCCTCAGGAGGCTGTCTTCCTTGGCGCGTTCGAACCTGGCGGGAGACGTGGCAAGCGCGTGGGCTGCGCGTGTGGTACAAGGCGGCGGGGCCGGGCCGGGGCGGGCGGCGAGGCACCAGAGCTGCCCAAAGCGCTCGCTCAGGTAGACGAGCTCGTTCTTCTGGACAAACGCCTCCGGGGCGACGGAGGTGGCATCGGTCGAGCTGCGGCCCAGAGCCTCGCGGGTCTTGCCCGTGGGCTCGACCGGCCTCATGCACAAGACCTTGTACGTGTGGCCGGGCGGCCCGCGCATCTCTGTCCGCACTATCTCGTGCGGCAGCGGCCCGAGCCGGTCCACAAAGTACATCAAGCCCTCCTTGGTGTGGATCTTGGTCGCGCGCCTCTTGGCGGGGGGCCTAGTGCCGCCGCTCGACGTGCCGGAAGAGGGGGGTGGCTTCCGGCAGCAGCCGTTTATTGTTCTTGCCGCGCGAGTGGTGATGGCCCTTGGCAATCAGACGAGAAGCGTCGCGAGGGGACGCGCGTCCTCCACGAACAGCGTGACGTAGAGCGGGTCAACCACGACCACCATCCGCCGTCACAACATGGGCGTGGAAGCTCGAAGGCGAGGAAATTCTTTAAATGTGCCACATACTCGACCTTGTGCATCGTTGTCTCGTACATCTGTCCCACTTGCGTGAAGCTCTGCGGCTTCGGCACGGCCTGGAGCCAGTGCCCTGCGGACACTCGCTCGGATCGCTCCCTTGACCGACCGTCTGGCCAAGCGAGGTGCGACGAGACGCGTCGGTGCTGGCCTCGTTTGAATGGTGATCGTGTACTTTGGGTCTTGAGCCATCTCTATCGTGCAGACGAGAACAGGACTCGGGCGCCTAGAAGCGCGAGCGAGGCAGCGCGGCGCGCGGAACGTCATCGAGTTTGGTGACGATTCCCCCTCACGGTGGGTCGTCTTTGCTGCACCGGCGAAGCTAGGCCCGATCAGCGAGCTGAGAAAACAGCACGGCGTAGCACTTGCATGGCTGCGCGACCGCCTCGGGCCAGTCGACGGACCAAAGGCTCGTGAAAGCTGGCTGCTGCGCATGCTCGCGAGCTGCAACTGGGATCGCCGAGCTGCCCTGAAAAAGTGCCGCGCATCCTTCGCGCTGAGCAAAAGGATTGGGTACGACAGGATCGCAAAGTTTGTGCGCGAGAACCCGAGGCCCGAGACGTGGCCGCACGGCGATGTCGTCCAGCGCCATCTCCCTCGCTACTTCACCCGTACCGACGCCGGCTTGGTCGTCGTCGGCTTGGTCGACACCGACTACGACGCTGCATGCAAGTCGTTGAGCCCGGCCGACTTCCGTGAATTCTGCTGGTATGCTGCCGTCTTCCTGATTGAGCTTCTGGTGGAGCGAGACGAAGCGAGCGGCGATATCGATGCGGGACTGTACCATATCATGGATACTCAGTTCACCAACGGCGTCCCCCTTCGCTGGCTTCTGAGAATGTATCCTGCCTTCTACGACGGCGGCACGCTGCTCGGCATCAACGCGTATGTTCGAGGGTGGTACTTTTGCGGTGCAAGACCCGTGCGCGCTCACATCATCATCATGTGCCAGCGGGTACGCGCGTATTTCCTGGGGCGAAGCGAGCTGATGAAGCTCATCTGCTTCATTCAGCCGCAGCGCGACCCGAAGCAGGCGGCGTCCCTGCAGCGCCTCTTCGAGCCCAAGCCGCTGCCAGTGAACTTTGGCGGCTTCTCCTGATGGCCTGCCTGGCCGGTCTGCATGGCGCAGTCTGTTCATTGAGATGTGAGAGGGGCTGTGGGGGAGAGGGAGAGAGGAGAGAGAGGGAGAGAGAGAGAGAGAGAGAGGGAGGGAGAGTAGAGTGAGAGAGAGTAGTGAGAGAGAGACAGTAGAGAGAGAGACAGTAGAGAGTCGAACCTCAAATTACCAAACAACTCTAACACTCACACAATGTTTTTGTTTCTGCTCCTGCGTGGTGGGGGGAACGGCTTCTGAGGAAGCCGTCGCCCGCGCCTTGTCTGTCGCGTGAATCGTGCTGTGCACTTGGAGCACTCTTGGACGTTGGAGTGCAGTCATCAACCGCACGCCCAGGACCGGGGAGCTAAGAGGCACCCGCGACCGCCTTTTGTTGTACTTTTTGAGCTCGCCTTCGATGTTATGAAACAAACGCTCAACGCGGAGATTCCTCAAATTCTTTTTCCTCGCGCGCCTGGCCTCGCACGTGCCTCCCTGACCACACTGCCACGGACGCTGCCTCCGTTTTCCGTCGTTCGCGCGTCTCGCCGACCACGGCGCGTCCTTCGCGCGCCTCTCGCCGACCAGAGATAGGCATAAATGCCGGCTGATCTAGACTCGACGATCAAGAAGCTGTCAAAGGAGGAGAAGGCGGCCAAGAAAGCGGCCAAGGCAGGCAAATATGGCGCTCAGCAGGTGGCGCAGAAGAAGAAGCTCGCAAAAAAAGCCGCCAAGGCCGCCAAGGCCGCCGCGGCTCCGGCCGACGTCGATGCAGCGGTGCAGCCCGAGGCAGCCGCCGCCACCGACAGCGGTTTCAAAGCCGCTACTTTCGTGCTGCCGCCCGATCCCGAGGATGAGACCCTTCAGTGTCGAGACTGCGGGAATGACTTCATCTTCACGGTCGGCGAGCAGCTTTTTTTCAAGACAAAGGGCTTCGACTTCAAGAAAAGTCGCTGCGGCGGCTGCCAGGCGGCCAAGAAGGCGCGCTTTAGCGAGGAAAGCGGCAAAGGCGGGGGGAAGGGGAAGGGGAGGGGGAAGGGTGACGGCGGCAAGGGCCAGGGCCAGGGCCAGGGCAGGGGCAAGGGCAAGGGCAAGGGCAAGGGCAAGGGCAAGGGCGACGGCAAGGGCTACGGAATCCCTGGCACAGCGACGAGTGAGCCGTATGGGTGAATTGGTGGCGATGTGTAGCTCTTGCCGTCGCCCTAACCGTTAGTGCCAGTGCGCGCCAGTCCCGTGCCCAGTGTTGTGCGAGAGACTTGGAGCACTTGGAGTGTAACCGCGCTTTGAAAATTCTTTCTTCCATGCTGGGTGAGGACGACGGCTTCTATTAGAACTAGCTCTACATGGGAGGGCTTCGTGAAGGATGGATTGAAAAACATTCGAACAAAGAAGAGGCGACGGGAGGAACCGGCAAGGGGAAGTGACGTGACACACACACACACACACACACACACACACACACACACACACACACACACACACACACACACACACACACACACACACACACACACACACCGCTCACCCACGCGCACCGGGCCTTGCACTTTAAATGCCGTGGGGCTCCTGTCGTTAGACGTGGAGACGCGAGGGTCGCCCCCCCTTGCCCCACCACCTCGTGTGTGTGGAGAAGTCTACCTTACCTTACCTTACCGTCTATTAGAACTAGAAGCCGTCGTCCGCCCCCCGGGCGCTTTGCCTGTTGTGTGAATCGTGCGTGTGCGAGAGAGTTTTGTTGTAAAATTCTTTCTTCTATAATAGATCTCTACGGGGTTTGATTCTTCTGTCCACGGGATGCGAAATTCTTTTTGCCGCGCCTTTTGTAGTGCCAGTCCTCAAAAAAAGAAAGAAAGAATTTTACCATACAAGCCCTCTCCCAGCAGACTGCCTGACTGGCTCGGACTGGCACTACAAATGGCACAGCAGGCGACGGCCCCTTACGGGTCGTCAAAGAGGCCGGCGTACTCCTCCGGCCGCTCCTCCCCCTCCCAATCCTCCCCGAAAGAAAGAAAACGGACAAACCAAGGGAGGGATGGGAGGACGGCACGCCGCCACCACACAGGGATTTTAAGGAGAGGGGTGTGGTGCGCTAGCCGTCGCCCACCCTTGGGCGTCCGCCTCTTCCTATCTCTCTTCGCAGTCTCTCGCCGATTCTCGCTGCAACCTTCATGCCACCTCGCGGTCGTCCCACTCTCGTCGGTCTCTCCCTTGTCGCTTCTTCTTCTGTCGCGTCGCTCTCCTCTGCCTCGTTCTGCGACGCCGCCGCCGCCTGCCGGTCCCTTGTTCTCGCTGCTTCTTGCGCCTTTCGGCGCAGCTCCGTAGTGCCATAAATAAATAAATAAAACGGGCACGCCAAACGAGGGGTGGGAGAGGGACAGGGTCCCCACCTGCACGAGCAGGATCTTGGAAGGACGATCAGGGACACAGGGGAACGGGAGCGGGGAGCGCATCGCGACACGGAGGGGGGCTGGGCAGGGTTCACCCACACGACAGGGTCCCAGGGATTCCTCTCTCGTATAGGACAGGTTGCACCCGGCGGCACGGGGGCAGGCGCGGGCCTCCTACTGGTTGCGCTCTCCTAGTTCTCCTGCTCCTGACAAGGGACAGCGACAGGCTCGCAGCACGGTGGACTCCCTATTCCACTGGCGATCTCTCTCGACTAGCGACCTTCCTCCGGCTTCTCACCAGCAGTCTCTCACTACCACGGGCACACTGACAGAGGCGGCCAAAAGGCTCACGTGGGTGGCAGGGCGGTGATAGGAGTCTCCCACTCTGTGGGCTTCGCTAGAGGTGCGGCCCCTGCGCGTGTCCTCGCCCTTGCGTGTGTGTGTGTGTGTGTGTGTGTGTGTGTGTGTGTGTGTGTGTGTGTGTGTGTGTGTGTGTGTGTGTGTGTGTGTGTGTGTGTGTGTGTGTGTGTGTGTGTGTGTGTGTGTGTGTGTGTGTGTGTGTGTCTGCGGGCGCTGTGCGAGCCGCCCTGAACGACCACAATGTTGAGCGCGCTCGAGCACCGAAGCACCGCGAGCGCCGGCGAGCACCACCGCCCCGCGCCTTGGCGTGGGTCGGTAGTACACGATGCGGCGCCCAGCAGCTCTATCATGCGTCGCACCCGCAGTGGCCGAGCCGACCGCCGCTCGAACTGGCGCCGAGTGGCTCCCAGATCGAGCGTGGCAGGCTCAGTCGCACCGTCGCGGGGCGAACGCGAACCGAGCCGTCGCCGTTCGCCGCAGCCGCCGGCCGCCAGCCGTCAGCCGTACAGCCGTACAGCCGTCAGCCGTCAGCTCGCAGTCGCCGTCGCTGCCGCCGCCGCAGCAGCAGTGAGCGAGCTCCTGCGTCGTGTTGCCGACGCAGTGTGGACGCGCGCCGCCCAGCGCCATAAAATAAATAAATAGAGCAGTCATCTCCAGGGAGAGATGGGCGACGCACACGAACACAGAGGGACAGTGCGCACCCCGCCCCGCTCGCAGGGCGTGCATCACACAGGTGGACTGTGTGACTCCTCGGGTTTCTGGGACTCAGAGGTGTGCTAGTCGCTATTCTCCGACAATTCCGACATATCTGACGGGCAGTTCGGGCTCGAGCGGTCGCGGTCACGGCCAGCGCGTGAGGCCTGGCTAGGGTTGCCGGGCGAGAGCTCGACCCACGCGCCGGAGCGCGCGTGGTGCTTGAGCAGCCGGGCGGTCGCCGCAGCCACCTCGAAGGGTAGCTCGTCGAGCCACTCGCCGAATGTGCCCTCGTCCTGCGCCGCAGCGAGGAATTGCTCACCTAAGCCGTACGCGCGGCAGGCCCGGTAGAGCGCCTCGTTCTGGATCTCCTCCGGCGCCTCGGAGTCGTAGCCGCAAACGGAGGAGCCGGCAGAAGAGGCCCGCTTCGCAGGCGGCGCGTCAGGCGACGAGGAGCGCGAACGCCGCGGCGGCACACCGTCGCCGCGCGCGGAGAGCGCGTTCCTGTCGACGCGGGGCGCAGCCTTGCGCCGGCCGCGCTTGGCCGGCCGGATTGTGAGGCTGCCGGCAGGCGGCTGTGCAGCCGCGGCTGCGTACGACTGAGCCGCAGGCGCGGCGGGTGGCGCGGCGGCGGGCGCGGCGGGTGGCGCGGCGGCGGGCGCGGCGGGTGGCGCGGCGGCGGGCGCCGCGGCGGCTGGCGCCGCGGCGGCGGGCGCGGCGGCGGGCGCGGCGGCGGGCGCGGCGGCGGCGCACGTGCCCGCTCGCTCGCGCTCCGCGCGCTCCAGCTCCCGTGTGTACTCGGACTTCAAGTTGATCTGCCCGTCGAGGCTGCCGTCGATGTGCATGGTGAACCGGACGGTGGCCGCGTCGATGTGCTGGGCGTGTCCCATCAGCGAGCTGATGAAGGACGCCTCGCGCATCGTCAGCGGCTCGCCGCCCTTCATGCACCGCTCAGCATCGCGGAGGCGGCTAGCACTGTCGCGCTTGAATGCCGGCATTCAAGCGATCTCTATGCGCAGCTGAGGAGGTCCCGCGCCAGTCCGAGCCAGTTACGCGGATTAAAATTCTTTTTGTCGTACCACTTCGCGGTTAGAGCGCCCGCGCGTGGGGTTGTGTATTTTGCTCGAGCCCTCGCCGCCCCCACAACAATGCTCGCCCGCGTCCGCTGCCTCGCGACGGGAGCCGCGATCGGTGTCGGCGCCAGCGCCGCCTCCTCCTACCTCGCCGACAACCCGCTCGTGATGACGCAGCTCAAGCGAAAACTGAGCGAGGCTGGCGGCGGCAGCGGCTCAGAGAAAGAGGAGAAGCCGCCGCTGGTGTGCGTCGTGAAGATGTCCGGGCAGATCGCGGCGCCGGCGCCGGGCGGGCTCGGGGCGCGGCAGACCATCAGCCTTTCAGCGTTCGAGCCAGTTCTGGAGCAGGCCTTCAAGGTGGAGCCGCGGTGCGTTGTCCTGGAGCTCAACTCGCCCGGCGGCTCTCCTGCGCAGTCCTCGCTGCTGCACTCGCGGCTGCAGCAGCTGCGCAAGAAGCACCCTGACGTCGAGCTGCTCTGCTACACAACCGATGTTTGTGCGTCGGGCGGGTGCGGCCGCCGCCTCCCGGAGTACGCGGCGGCGTCTGCTATCCAGCGACGCGCCGCCTCGCTGCAGGTACTACATCGCCTCCGCGTGCGACGAGATCTTTGTCCTCCCCTCGAGCATCGTCGGCTCGATCGGCGTCGTCTCGCCGTCGGTCGGGCTGGTCGAGCTGCTCCGCAAGTGGGGCGTGGAGGACCGCACGCTCACCGCAGGCCTCCCGGCCGCCACCTCTCGGACGCGCCTCCCAGACATCTCCCACATATCCAGACGCACCTCAAACCCACCCCATCCAGACTCGCCCCCCACCATCCAGACGCACCCCAGGACGCGCCTCCCAGAGTCTCCCAGACGCCGCGCACAGCTCCAGTCCCCGACGGGGAGCGGTCGACCGCCGCAGGCACCTCCAAGGCGGGGGACAGCCCTCTCCGCGCACGAGACCCGGTCGAGGTCCGGAAGAAGGAGATGCTGCTCGAGGAGCTGCACGCCGACTTCAAGGCCAAGGTCGAGGCCGCGCGTGGCTCGCGGCTGAAGCACTACGAGGCGGCAACCTACCACCGAGCCGCGGGCGAGATTAGCCGAGATCAGCCGAGATGAGGGGAGATGAGCCGGGGTCAGCCCAGATCAGGGGAGGTTGCGAGGCCTCCACGCGGGCGACCGCAAGCCGCGCGCCGGAGCGCAAGTCGAGCTTACCCGAGCGCAGCCGAGGTTGGCAGAGAGGAGGTGTCGAGACTAGGTGACTACAAGTCTCGCGCCGATCGCCGCACGGCGCTCTTCGACGGCTCTGTGTACGGGGGCGCGCGCGCCGTCGAGTTCGGCCTCGCCGACGGCGTGTACGACGACATGCGCGACCATCTCAAGGCGCGTTTCGGCGAGACGGTCTGCTTCGCCGAGGTCAAGGGGAGGCAGGGCTTGCTCGAGAAGCTCGGCGCGATGCAGGCCGCCGCCGCGGCGCAGCAGCGCGCTTCCTCGCTCGTGACGGAACCGTCCCTGAGCCCTCCTCGGAGCCTTCCTGTAGGCCGCCGCCGCGGCGCAGCACGCCACGTCGCTCGTCACCGCGGCGACGGCGGCGTCGGCGGAGCTCGCGGCGGCGCCGCGCGTGCAGTAGAATCCGCACCGTGGTCCAGCATAAGGCGTGTGCTTGCGGTGCTGCACCGCGCTCAAATGCTCTGCGAGCGAGGTGATGTCCTCTCCTACCTTCCTCCTCCACTCGCTAGACTGTGTACCCTCCTCCCCACGCGCACGGCCAATCTCGGAATCTGCCCGCACTCCCTCTCCGCACTCCGCTCTCGCCAGAGCTGGATCTGGTTCATTTTTGCATGTATTATTTGGATGCTCTCAACACTCAAGCGCTCGGCACGCTGGGAGGGGGGCAGACGCCTCCGTCGCTACCGCCGCCCTCGCCGCCGCCACCCTCGCCACCACCGCCCTCGCTGCCGCCGCCATCGCCAGTGCACGCCAGCTCGCCGCCACCGCCACCGCCACCGAGCACCGTGCACCGAGCACCGTCGCCGTCGTACGACTACGGGACTCCCCGCCCCACCTACCCTCCAGCACCACCCCCTCACCGCCACCTTCGCCACCGTCGCCGCCGTCTGGTTACTGCTTACTCCGCGCTGTGCGCGCTGGACACTGGAGCTCTCTCTCTCTCTCTCTCTCTCTCTCTCTCTCTCTCCAAGTTTGCCGGTGCAAGAGAGAGGCACCGGCGCTGTCCTGAGAAGGTCCATGGTCCCTCTTGACTGCCCATGCGCGCGAGGCTGTGTAGGCATAGCCTCGAGAGTGCCAGCAGCCAATCCGAGGTGACGCGCATTGCGCCAGAGAAGCGTGCACGCAGCTGGAAGGACACCTTCCTACTGGCCGTACGATCAGGTCGTCACTGAGTGCTAGGATACTAAGGCCGCGAGCTATGCAGGTGATCAATTGCGCAGCATGGCACGGTCAGCAGCGCCGACAGGCTGTCGCAAGGCGTGATAGCATGGCCGCAAGTCGCCGAATTCCCATGAAAACAAGTAAAAATCCCGCGAAAAAATTCTCAAAAAATCGGCGCCTGCGGCGGGCCGTGGGACCCCATCTCCCCCCCGCATGGGTACCCTCTAGGGCCCCCGCGCCCCCCCAGAGCTCACGACACTGGGCACGGGGACACTGCGGGCGCACACACCGCCACTGGCACTAACGGGATTATTAAAGTGAACTCGGGGGCACGGGACGCGGCACAAACGGGGCACAAACGCCAGGCTACAAACACGGGGAGGCACGTAGTGACGCAAGGGAGTCTAGGCGACGGTGGCGTCCTCCGACGCCGCAGCGCGAGCCTGAGCTCGGTCGCAATCTCATCCGCCGCCGCGAGCTGCAGCGCGACTGACATGCGCAGCCACGACCGCGTCGACCAGCTCGCCTCGTCCTCGTGCTGCCGCTTCGAGAGCTTGTTGCGCACCTAGCTTGTCCTTCATCTGGTAGAACAGCCGCTTGACCGCGTTGCACCACCCGCCGCCCGAAGGTTTCCAGCATAGGGCCGGTGGTGAGTGGCTGAGTGCAGGCGCGCACCAGGCTGGGGTATCCAATAGATAGCAAGGGGTCGGTGATTACGGCACGCATCGAGAAAAAAGAATTTTAGAACAAAACTCCCTCGAACAACACTGGGCACGAGACTGGTGCGCACTGGCACTAACTCACAGGTACACCAGAAAAAAAGAATTTTCCGTCGCACGGCGATTGTGGGCAGAGCCCGCCTTTCCTTTTTTCTAGTTAGCGGGCTTTCGTCGTGGCAGCCTTCCGAGAAACACTTGCTGGCAATGAACAATTCTCAACTCACTCAACACACACACTCACACTCACTCAACATAGTGCACAACAGGCCGTAGTAAACACCCTCTATTAAACACCCTCTATTCTATCAGTTCCCACAGTGATCGATCGAGTGTGTGTGTGGGGCTGGGGGAGGATCGATCGGCCGAGCAGAGTGTGACACTTCCCACAGGTGTGTCCACCAAGCCGCCATCGATCGCGGGAGAACAGCGCATGGTGTGATCTGGCGCGGCTTTAGACCCACGTGGTCGACGTTTGGCAGAAGCCCCTGTCGCCGTCCTTGCCCAGGACAAAGTCGAAGTTGGAGAGGAGCGTCTTGTCCATCATCCGCTTCTCGTTCTGAGCTTGGACTTTAGCCCAACGGTGCTCGAGGGCGCTTGCCATGTCAATGAGCTGCGTCTTGTACTCATACGTCATCGGGTCCCCCGCGCGTTGGACGTTGGGCAACTCTGCGATCTTCCGCAGCTCAGCTGTCACGCTAGTGGTGTCGGCGTCGTCGTTCTCGTCGGTCCCATCGCGCATGCACTCGTCCCGCACAGGCTTGCCGATCACGGTGACGAGGCCCGCCACCGCAAAGTTGCCCGCCGTCTGAGGCGACGGAGGCAAGTTAATGTGTTGTCGGATAGTGCTGTCATCTGTCTGTTAGGCTAAGGCTGAACTGAGTGGTCCGCGACAGGGCTTCTACGTTATGCACCTGTCCCCAGCACCAGTACTTACCGCGGCACTCCTCCAGGTCGAGTCCAAACATCAAGTTGAGAGAAAACGTGAAGGTGTGTTCGATGCCAACCAACCGAGCCGTCTGAGCCGGGTGGTAAGACGCAATCCTGTCGTTGTCCGGGTACTGCAGTGTGTGGAGATTCTGCTTGTAGGAGTCCAGATCAGCTTGGGGAAGGTTCATCCGGTACGTTTCGTTGCACACAATGTTCTGCGCATCCACGAGTGCAGCCGCGAAGTACCGCTCGTCCGCTCGCGGGACGCCATGTGGCATGTAGCGCTTTGCGTGTTCGTTGCACGGACTCTCGAGCATGGGCAGGATCGTCCTTGTCTTCATGTTGAGGAGGTCATCGCTAGTCATGGCGCGTGTGTAGATGACCGGTGCCTGGGTCAGGAGGACTTCGGCGACTTCGTAGAGCAAGGAGGATTGGTTGCGGCCGGGGTTGAGAAGGCGCCAGGCGGCATCGCCGTTGGGACGATCCGATGAGATGTTTCTCGCGGCGAAGGATTGGGTGCCAGAAGCCAAATGAAGCGCGGTGTGGTAGTACCTATTCACGGTGTTAGAACGTGCGTGAGGAGACACGTTTGCGCTGCAGAGCAGAGGCAGCGTGTGGCGTTACTGGATTGCGTTGTGCAAGCAGTGCGTCATTTCGTAGCGGGCGGCTCCATTGATGTTGTCAGTGGCCGACGACAACGTCAGCTTTCCATCGTGCATCTTGAAGTGCCACTGGCCTTTCCGCACTCCCCCGGCAAGCAGCGCCTCCTTCCGAAAATCAGGCTCCTTGAAATCGTACTTGGGATTGAGCAGTGAGTCGAGAATCGGTTGCTTTCCTCCGTCCCGTTCAGTGCTGATGACCGTGTCGTCGCAGGCGAATGTGTATGTGCTCTTGTCGTCGTCGTAGGTGAGGAACTGCGCCGCCCAGGTGTTCTGGAAGATGTTTGCCATGCGCTCCTGTGGCATCACATCGTCCTGCCCCAACACGAGGCCCTTCTCCCCGTTGTAGCTTTGCTCCACGTAGGCGTTGAATTTCTCTGGATCTTCAATGAGCTCAAGCTCGGCCCCCCCCAGGATCGGAACCGGACCTGGGTGGCGTTCGTGCACCCGCCGTGTGATTGACTTGAGAACAAGCGGGCTGAATGGCGGTTTGAGGAGGAGACCATCGACAACTGGTCCAACCAGAGGGTTGAGGAGCGTGTTGCGCAAGGTCTTCGCAGTCGCCGTGTCCGGCGCCAGCTGACCGCCCGCAACGCAGCGCAGACCCGTCCGCTTTTGATGCGGTCCGCAGAACGATGGGGTAAGCATGTAGGGCTTGTGTTTGCTATCGAGCTGCTTCGACTCGTCCCCTGGGCGTTGCGAAACGAAGATGCCGCCCAAGTTCGGGGATTCGTGGTCGTGGCGATCAAGGCAGATCGCCGCCTGCTCTGAGTCTGGCTCCTCGGTGGTGACGTTGGCGCACATGGCATGGCAACGGTCGTGGAGGGGATCCGGGCCGACTCCTTCCAGAACGGGGAACATGTCGTCGCAGACCTGGAACGGAGGGTCGACGTCGGCGGAGCGGAGCGGCATGGCCGAGGCGCCAAAGAGAATCGCCACGCCGAAGAGCATGCGCGCTGAGACCATCTGCGAGGGTGGCGGCGCGGAAGGTGGTGTGGCGAGTGTGGTGTGGCGAGTGTGGCGGGTGGCAGGAGGCCTGCGTGCAGATCGTCCTGGCTGGTGTCCTCGTACTTGTAATGTCGGCGCCGATGGTCCTGGCAAAGCTGCACGTGTCCTCGTACTTGTAATGACGGCGCCGATCGTACTGGCTGTCCCAGCAATGCCGGCGCAAAGACTCGCTCCCATGTGAATCGAAAAGGATCTGGACACACCTGCGTGGACCGCGTGAGTGACAGGCGCACTCTCTCTCTCTCTCTCTCTCCTCTACAGCGTGCACAGGTAAGATAGAGAGCCGTACGAGAGTTCGCGAGAGGTGTGAGTCAAACTGATCTGTCTGGAATGAACAACTTGAAAGCCGGGCTACCAAAGCGCACACACGTATCACGTATGCTCTCTCTCTCTCTCCTCTACAGCGTGCACAGGTAAGATAGAGAGCCGTACGAGAGTTCGCGAGAGGTGTGAGTCAAACTGATCTGTCTGGAATGAACAACTTGAAAGCCGGGCTACCAAAGCGCACACACGTATCACGTATGCTCTCTCTTATAGTGATTAGTGTACGGTAGTACTGTTAGTAGAGTACACAAGACCGCGCCGGTCCGACTCCTCCGTACGTGCGCCACAGACAGAGGCACTATTCCACTGAGATCACTGTTCTCTCTCTGTATGGTACACCCCGAGAGCCTTCACGAGGCTGCCGACAAGTACGCTTGTGGGGTCTCCATGCTGCGGCACCCGACTGTACATGCATTACTAAGGGCCAGCTGCGCAGCTCACGCGAGGAAGCTCTTGCGGTGGTTGCGTATCTGGTCACAACTCGCCTCGATCGCGTCGACGTACAGCCACAGCGGCAGCAGGTCGAACGGCATCTCCGTCCGGACGCCGACGTCCTACTCGCGAAAAGACAAGAGTGGACTCTAGCCGAGATGCATCTCCGCCCCGGACGCCGGCGTTCGATGCCAGGCTAAAGTCGCTGCATCTCGGCTGCATCTCGGCTGCAGTTCGGCTGCATCTCGGCTGCATCTCGGCTCTCTCCGCCTCGATGCCAAGCATGAAGTACGTCATCATCGCGCACACCGGCACGGTGCCCCACGGCCCGACGACGGGGTACCTGTCCACAGCTGCGGCCGTGAAGAGACGCTGTTCACGGGCGCGGCGTGCACTGCCAGAGAATTGCGGCACATGACGAGCGGGAGCGAGGCGCACCTACGGGAGATATGGGGAGATATGGGGGAGATATGGGGGAGATATGGGGGAGATATGGGGGAGATATGGGGAGAGCGGGAGCGAGGCGCACCTACCGAGGGAGATATGGGGAGATCTGGGAGATCTGGGAGATCTGGGAGATCTGGGGAGAGGGTGCGAGGCGCACCACACGTACAGGAAGCGCGAGGTGTGCGTGGTGGAGCCGCTGTACATTGGGGTCCGCATCAGCCGCTCGCAGCCGCCGAGGATGTCCGAGAGCCTAGCCGAGGTGCAGCCGAGGTGCAGCCGAGGTGCAGCCGAGATTGTCAGCCGAGATTGCCAGCCCGAGAGCCTCATCAGCCGGTCGTCGATCTGCGCGGCGGCGACCGGCTCCAGGCCGAGGGCGGAGGAGCGCGAGAGCTTGCCGAGCTCGTGGATCACCTAGACGGGAAGGTTCCGAGAAGAGTCCTCGCCAGCCTGCCGATCTCGCGAGCAGCTTGCAGAGCTCGTGGATCACGTGGAGCGGCCGGTTTCCGACGTCCTTGGCGAGGAGCGCCTAGCCGAGATCGAGCCGAGATCGAGCCGAGAGGCATGGGTAGATTGGCCGCTTGCCGAGTCCGTCGCGAAGTGCGCCTCGATGTAATCTCGCGCCGCCTCGGCCTCTGCCTCGCGCCCCTCCGCCCCGTCAAAGGCGCCTGTGGACATGTCTCGGACATGTCGTGGACGTGCCCCGGACATGCCTCCTCCGCCCCGTCAAAGGCGCCTGTGGACATGTCTCGGACATGTCGTGGACGTGCCCCGGACATGCCTCCTCCGCCCCGTCAAAGGCGCCTGTGGACATGTCTCGGACATGTCGTGGACGTGCCCCGGACATGCCTCCTCCGCCCCGTCAAAGGCGCCGGCGAAGGCGACGAGGATCTCCTGCTCAAGAGCCGCTTTGTACTCGGACGCCAGCGCCTAAGATGTACGGTCTCTAGATGGGCAAGCTTCTCCACACACACAGTGGTGGTGGTGGGGCAAGGGCGAGGCTAGTCCCTCGCGACTCCACGTCTAGACGACAGGAGCTGGCACGGCATTCAACTTGCAAGGCCCAGTGCGCGTGGGTGAGCGGGGGGGGGGGGGGGGGGTGCGCGCGCGCGCGCCTCCTTGGACAGCGTCTCGCTCGAGCCGGACCGCTGCCACGTGTCGTTGAAGGCGAGGCCTGCTCGCAGCGAGAGGAATGGTGAAGAGGCCGCCGCCGCCGCCGCTGCTGCCTCGGCTCGAGTGCGCGACGCCGTCGACGGTCAGGTGGAACTTCATCGTGTGCGCGAACGCAGCGACCAGGCAGACAGCGTGCCGCCGCGCCTGCTCCGCCTCCGCGTCGCCGCCCTCGCGCGCCATGAAGCGAGAGGCGAGGTCGCGGCAGACCTGCGCGACAGCTCATGGAGGGTTCGTGGAAAGTTCACGGTGGCGGTGAGGCGAGGTGCCGAGGGCAGGACGTTGGTCATCGAGCCGAGCAGCACGCGCGCCTAAAAAAGGGAGATACGGGGAGATATGGGAGATATGGGGAGATATGGGGAGATATGGGGAGATATGGTTAGAGCAGGCCGCGTCTCGATGAAGCGCTCGTCGGGGCAGTGAGACATGGGGAGAGATGGGGAGAGATGGGAGGGATGGGGAGAGATGGGGAGAGATGGGAGGGATGGGGAGAGATGGGGAGAGATGGGGAGAGATGGGGAGAGATGGCGCCTCGATGAAGCGCTCGTAGGCGCGGTTGGTGCGGACCGAGAGGACCAGGCCGAGCGCGACGGAGAGCATGGTGAACGGCTCCACCTACAATGACGCCGATCGTGCACTCACGCAGTCGTTGGCGCGACGGAGAGCACCGTGAACGGTCTGTTCCCGGGCCGGTGCTGACTTCTGACTGTCGTTGCTGATTCTCGGGTGTCTGTGCGTGTGCGTCTTGGGTCCGGGGTTGTGTTTTTGCGTCAACAGCTGCACCGGCAGCGTGATCATCTCGTGGTGCAGCAGCAGGTCGAAGCCATGCCGCTCCTGCAGAGGGAGGAGGAGGAAGGAGGCGTCAGGCTTCGACTCGCGGCATCGGTGCACGAGGGCTGCGAGATATGGGGAGATATGGCATCGGTGCACGAGGGCTGCGCGCACAGTGGTGGAGTGTGAGCACGGTAGAGTGAGTCTAGCCGCGGCACGAGTCCTCTCGAGTGCTTTGCTGGAATGGAGGAGGGCTGCGTGTGTGGCCGCATCTAGGCTGGCGCTCGATCGACTCCACCGTCATGGTGTGCTCGTGCTCCCACGCCACAAGCAGATTGTGCAGCACGACCGAGGCCGAGATGGAGGTCGTCACAGCCAGGTCAGGATACAGGAGCCGCCGGAATGTGGCTGATCGGAACGTGGTGAGGACGTGCCGGATGTGGCGGTCGGACGACTCGCGGCGCGCCCAGTCCTCGTGCGAGTGGTTGAGGTCGATTGGGTGGCCGCGCCAGCGGCCGGTGACTATATCGGCAAAGGTCCGCCGCACGCGCGGCGAGTAGAGCACTCGAGTGCTGTCGGTTGCTTCTGGCTGGGGCCGGCGTGCTGCGATGGCCTTTCTTGCCACCTCGACGTCGGCGGCGGTGTAGCCGCGCTGTGCCCGCCGGAGCAGAGACGCCGTCAGGGCGCGAGGAGGCGGGCGTCGAACGAGCATCGGCCGGCCGCACCAACCAAACCAAGAGTGCCGTCGGTGTAGTGGCCACCAACCTCGGTCCTCGGCGAGCAGCGGGTTTTGGGTCCAGCAGGGTACCGGGTGTATGGCACTCCGCCGGCAGGCGCGGCGGCGCATTTTGCATCGCGAACCAACCTAAAAATACAGAGTGCCCCTGTTCCTCAGCGGGTTCGGGTACAGCCAGGTATGGGACGGAAAGCAATCAATTTGGTCTGTGAGGGTCCGCCTGCAGGCGCATTTTGTATCGCAAACCAACCTAAAAATACGAGCGTGCCAGAGCGCGCGCGATGCCCCCCCCCCCCCCTCTACCCCCTCCCTATACTCACTCACGCCACACCCTCACCGCGCACACGCGCGCCGTCCGGTGTTGAGCTTGAGAGGTGTTGTTCGCTGCTTCTCTGGGACCTCGAACTCTCCTCGACAGCGACTCGATGGGACCATCGGGGTGCAATGTACACCAGCGTCGGCAGTCTCAGAGAAGCCCAGGCGCAGGGCCCAGGCGCAGGCGCAGGGCCCAGGTGGCACCACCAATGAGGAGGGCGACATGGAGGACGACGACGAGCGTGATCGCAGGGGCTGAGAGCTCCGGCGGTATCGAGGCTGTGGCAAACCAGCCTGGGAGCTGCTCTGCTGCTGCCAACGTCACATAGGCGAGCAAGGCGAAGGTGAGGCTGAGGAGGACTATGAGGCGGCGGCCCTTAAGCACCTCAGCCTTAAGTGCATCGGCCTCGGCAGTCGCCTTGCGCCGCAGCTGCTCGAGCTCAGCCTGGCTGTCAGTGAGTCTTGCCTTTGCATCGGCTAGGGCATCGAGGGCAGCCGCTCGCTCGCGCTCGGCACTCTCCGCGCGACCCTCTGCCTGGGTGAGCTCCTCAGTGAGTCTTGCCTCGATGGCTCGCCTAGCTTCGGCTTCGGCCCCACGTTGCTCTTCAAGCTCATTGACCCGAGCGGTTTTGGCCACGAGAGCTCGCTTTGCGTCGTCTTTGGCCTTGAGGGCAGCCGCGCGCTCGCGCTCGGCACTCTCCGCGCGGCCCTTTGCCTGGGTGAGCTCAGCACATGGCCCAGCAGTCGCGTCGTTGTGGAAGCTCCGCGCCCAATCTGAGAACTCGGCGGTGGAAAAGCCTGCGATGCCAGCCGAGGTCGCCCGGACCTGGTCGAGCGTTGCGGAGCCGTGGGGCAGGTCGAAAAACGCCTCGTACGCATGCAGTGCGCGCTGCTCCTCCGCCGACGGCTCGAGCCGCGACCTGATGCGCTTTCCCTGCCCGGTGCCAGGCTCTTCCGTCTCGTAGTTGTCGATGCCGATGTCGAGCTTCGCAATCATCGCATTGATGATCGTTGTCTTCCAGCCGTCCGCGCAGCCGAGCTCACCCAGCCTCTTCCAGAACTTGCTCAGGTTGTCGGGCGTCGGCTGTGTCTGGTCAAAGTGCCGTAGCATCTCACCAAAGAGGCGATTGGTGTTCTCGATGCCATGAGCCGCAAGCTTCTTCGCCGTCTTAGTTTCCGACTCGTTGCCGAAGCCGACGCCTGGGAAGTCGTGGCGCAGGTCGTTGTTGAACTTTATATTCTTGATCTTTTTCGCCTTGGCTTCGTCGAGCCTGCTGGAGACAGGCGTGCCGTCGACGTGCGTCGGTAACGTGACGCCGATCTTGATGCCGACCTCGGCGACGCGCTTGGAGACGGCCTCGGCGACCGCCTCACGGTGTGCCCCCGGCGTGTCTGCACTTTTGAGCAGCGCCAAGAAGGCCGTCTTGTTGCGGTCGAGCTGTAGGAAGTGACCGAGCAGCTGGTATGTCGTGTATATTCCTTGCTTGTTGAGCTTCTCGGTCGACTGTGGCCCGATGTGATCGACTTCTTGCAGGTCGCCAGTAAGCTGGTAGGATGCGTCGGTGAAGCATGCCATCGCGCACGGCGCACAGGACAGCCGCGAGGCGGGGGTCACCTGCGGAATCAGTAAATGTGAGGCTAGGTCTGTGCTGAGGGGACGCTCACGGGGTGCTGCTGAGGGGACGCTCATAGATGCATTCATGCGGGGGCTCATTCGAGCCCGTGTGTCAAGGTGAGCGGTGATGAAGGTGCAGGTGCAGGTGCATGCTCCAAGATGCGCAGGCGCGAGGGGAGAACCGTCTAAGGCCGAAGCTGTGTTCTGAGGGCAACGGCGCAGCTTTGGGAGGGGCGGCGCGACCAGGACCTGGCGAGGTGTATCGCGGCACAGAGCCAGAGAGAGGACCGAGACCGGCGCCGATGAATGCCGTACGAAGGTCGTTCGTAACTGACTTGCGAGCACAGAACGGCCAACGTCCCGGACGCTGAACGATGACCGCATGTCGAGACCGCATGGCGCGCAATACTCGAGCAGAAAAAATGAAAAAACCGCCTCACGAGACATTGGGGCCGGGCCGCGGGCGCTCGCCGCGCGCAGGTTTCACACATCACACGCCCCCAGTGAGAGAGCACAGTGTGTGTGAGTGAGTGACCCTCCTCACGACGTTGTAATCAACCACTACGTAAACCAAACACTACATAATATAAGTAGCTTTTCAGATTTCACTGGGCGGAGCCACCCCCTACCACTCGGTGGCATTGTTGACTACCACTCGGTGACTACCACTCGGTCCCGCAAGCCGGCAACCACACGCGTACATACGGCGACGCCATCAACATCGGCAGGTACTAACCTCAGAGTAGAGAGGTACGGCTCTACCCGGCGCTCTCGTACCTGTGAGCACTCTGGCGCCGTCGCCGAGTTTCCTCCTAGTCTTCCACCATGCTATTGAACGCCTGCCACACGGCCGAGGCGTCGGGCTCAAGCTGCATCGAGAGGAGCTTCGCGTCCAGCCATGCAAGGCAGTCCGCAGCGGAGGATCCACCGCGGTGCATCTCCAGCGACTGGTCTTCAAACGCCTTGCACTGAGCGAGCATACCGTCCACTGCGTCAATGCCGCCAGCCGTCGCCGTCGCATCCGCGAGAATCTGCGCGAATCCGGGGATCGCGGCGGCGGCCGCCGCCCTGTGACTGCGCACCGCATCGACTCTGATTTGAGCGCTCGCTCCGGCCGCCGCCGCTGCTGCCGCCGCTGCCGCCGCCGGACCGGACACGACCTTGAGGTTTTCTGGCCAAACGCTGACGTCGCCACCGCCATCAATCGAAACGCTGACGAGTCCGTGACTCTGAATCTCCGTCACCGTTCCGCGCTTGCCTGTGATGTCGAGACCAGCGTTCTCCACGGCCATAAGCTCGACGGCTTGGCCAACCTGGATCTCCATATGAGTGCGTGTTGGGCTTTGGACAGGGTTCGGGGCGAGGCGCGCCAAAGTTCTTTTTCAGGGCGCAAGAACAGAAGCAAGAACAGAAGCGAGAGTCGGGCCGCCGAAACCAGGCCGCACCTGCGAACAGGAGGGGGCCAGGCGGTGCGAGGGGCCCCGAGTGAGGGGGGCGACCCCACAGCGACGAGCGAGCCGCTCGGCGGCGCTCGAGCTCGCTGCCTCAAGCTTCTTTCTGAAAAAGGTTCTGCATTCGGTCAGACCGAGTGCGAGAGAGTGAGAGAGGGGTGTGTGTGGGGTGGGTCCACGAACGACGCGGTCTTTTGGGTTGCGTGAACGGCGCCTTCCCTGGGACCCCGTGTTGCTGTGTCATTTGGCCGGGGTTTTATGTGAACGGCGCCTCGACTGTCTGAGCTTGTGCGTCTTGGGTCCGTGGTTGTGTTTTTTGTGTGAACGGCGCCTCTGAGAGATGTCGCTCTCTCTCCTCCCTCAGGACGCGCAGAGGCAGCTGCGACCCCGCCGAGTAACCCTAACCCTAACCCTAACCCGAACCCTAACCCTAACCCTAACCCTAGGTCAGCGTGTGGGGCTGAGTCTTAGTCGTCGGCGCTGTGGGGCCAGATCCCAGCGCAGAACCCTGCAACGCTGGCATATACAGACACAACCAGACTAACCCTGACCCTAACCCTAACCCTAACCCTAACCCTAACCCTCTAACCCTAATAACCCTAACCTACCCACACCCCCCAACTCCACAGAGACCACACCGCAAATTTGAAAGATCTTGATGAAAATCAGACCCGACTGCAAATTTCTTCAAAATTTTCGCAGGCGCTCCGCGCCTGCAGATTTTGAAATAAATTCGACAAAATTGGTACCTGGCCCAACGCCCGCGGCCTCGGCCTCGGCCGAGCATCCCTCTGAGATCGTGCCACGAGGATGTCATTGCTGGGGGGACACCATTTCGTGCACCGAAAGAATTTTCTAAACGTGTGTTTACTGTCCTTGTTCAAGCCACCACCGGCTGGGGCGCCACCGGCGCCGCGCCACCGCCAGTGCCCTCGCCGAGCGGCCTCCCGCGTGCTCGCAGCGTCGCGTACTCGCCCGAGTCGGAGTAGCGCTGCAGCTCGCGCACGCGGTAGATTGGCAACGGGTGCGTCGCCTCGCGCTGCTGCGACTGCCGCACGAGCCGCCCGAGCCGCGAGCCGTCGGCAACCTCGTCGTACTGCGCAGCCTGCGCGGGGCAGGAGGCCAGGAGCATCGGGGTCCACGTGGGCCCAACATACCACCCGCCCTTTTTGGGCTGTATTTCTCGGGGTGCATTTGGGAGGGGGGGGTTACCCCCCCCCCCCCCCCCTCCCCCGCCTGCTCCACAAAGGCCTCGACGTCCATCGACTTGCCGTACGCCTTTGAGCCGCCGCAGAGCTTCATCGTGACCGCCTGGACGGCGCGCACGTCGCCGACCGCGAGCAGGGCGGCGCGGTCGCAGGACAGCTCCTGTCCAGGGTGCGGCGAGGGGGGGGGGGGGGGGGGCTGGGGGAGCAAGGCCAAAGCCGCGTCGCTCTCTCTGCCGCCACACCGCAGTCTCGCCCAACACACAAACCAGTCGCGGTCGCGCACACAAGAGCCGTGGCGGTGGCGCTCTCTGCCGTCTCACCAGCCAGAGTGTCGCCGCCACCAGCAGCGCACCGCAGCAAACTAGTGCAAGGGTAAGGGTGTGGGCTACCCCCGAAACGCCACGTCCAGAGACAGGCAGGCGCCGGGCGGCGTGCGGCAG